GACACACACACACAGTCTCACACCACTGTGCTTTGAAGTGATGATATGTCCGGGGCTTTAAAGTCCCCCCTAATAGACTGATTTCCAGGAAATAGGGGCATTAACCACTTCTGTGTTTCTGTGTCTCCCTCTCAAGCACTAACCTCTCTAGTCATGTCCATCTGTGTCAAATCTGTCCATTAAAAGTTCAGAAAGACTCATGAAAGAAAACAAGCAGACCTTTTGAATGTTGCTGTGGAACTATCGCTTTATTTCACATGTTTTAGTGCTGACCAGAAGCTTAAATACCCTCAGATGCTAAGATTACAATAAACATTTACTTCGTAGCTTCGGGTCATACACAAAACAGGAAGTCAACGTAGCTGAGCCCCGTAGCAAACGAAACAACAGGTGAAAGTGAAAAAATAGGCCTGAATTTACAAAGCACAAAGAATAGATCTTAAAATCGAAAACTAGCCAATCTGAAACTAGCTAAATGTGAAACTAGCTAAATATGAATAAGCTAAAACTAAAGCTTGCTAAATAGCATCTAGCTAAACCTCAAGCTAGCTAAAATCTCATCTCTGTTTTTGTGCATGTGAATGTTGGTGAAATGTCGTCACTAACTCTTTGTGCAGCTTCATATCACAGACCCTCGGTAAACAGCTTTATATTTGTCAGGATGCTTCTAAACCTCAGAGCTGAGAAGCTCGATGGAATAGCTTTCATAAGCCGAACAAAAAAGCCATAATTGAATTCCGGTCTAATTATGAGTGTACTACCTGCAACACAAAGTGTAGAATACTTTTTGATTTTTTAATTTTAAAATGTCTGCGCTAGGTACTTTATTCTTGCATCTCCAGTTAAAAGCTTATGGTTGCACTTATTCATGCTTCTTTTCATTAGTGACCTAGAGTGCCACACATAACCTCATAATGGCCTCTTTTATATTACTCATCATTCATTAAAACACTGTGATCAGTCCTTGAGTTCCTTTTGATAAACCAGAGTTTATCCTTGTTTCTGATGATCTGAATACGTATGACCTTTATTAAATGTGAGTTCTAGCCATATAGAGGCTCATTGTTTGTTCCGCGCAAAGTTTCACTCCACTTCAAAGTACCACAGCTCCATTCACATCCTGCCCCATTTTCCCTTTGATCACATCCCACTGACAGGTGTGCCCACACACTCTCTCCAGCGTCAAATGGCATTTCTTTGACAATCCTTTGACCAGAATACTTGGCTGAAGTCTCCACCAGCTCGCTTAAAAATCCTCCCTTCACACTCTCACCTCACTCTTCCACCTGCTGATGGAAACGAGACCTCTTGCGGATTGAATTAGTTTTTGGTTTGAACTCCACAGGTTGTTTTGCATGAAATTCTGACAAATTTAAAATAAACCTTTTTTCATTTTCACTGGTAGTTTTTAAGTATCTTGACAAATATTCATGAAGGATTGCACACCTCACCTCATCTCCTTCTGAATCTGTTATTGCGCTCCATTAGAGAAAAGACCTGAGGCATGTCTCCAAGAGATAAAGGCCTGGATGAACTTCTGCATTCAGATGGAATTGAAGTCATTGCAGTTGGTCCGAAAGGCCTCAGAAAAACATCTGATCAAATGATTTCATTGGATGTTCATTACCTTGACCTTTAACTGTAAGAAACTTTAGGATAATTTTGTCCATTTATGTCCTTTGACTCACACATGACAGGTCTGTAGGACAGCACTCATTCACCTGCACAATATAGTACAAATTAGAAACAAAAGGATTTTGAAAGACTAGTCCACACATATGGTACCTCTAGACTGGACTACTGGGATAACTTATTATCAAGATGTACCAATGATTTGTATTTCTTTTTCAGCTTCTCTGCATTGGGTCCCAGTGGAGAATTCAAACATGTCCTTGTGTACACAGTCTTTAATTATAAAGAAGATCTTAAGAGCTAAGAGATAAAGAGCTTATAGTACCTTATTATCCCAAGAGATCTAAATACTGGCTTACTTGTGGTTCCTCGAGTGTGTAGATGTATTGGCAGTTTTCACCTACCATGCTCCTCTACTGGAAACCAGCTCCCAGTTTGAGTGCGGGAGGTTCAGGTGAGCGTTGAACCGTCTCTTGGCTCACAGCGTCCCCCTCTTCCTTTCACTCTCAGATGTGTGCTCACCCAGAGTCTGTGCCTGAAGATAATAAATGTTGTGATTGGATGCTAAAAATATTACTAACATTATACAGGTAAATAAGGCCCTACTAAACTTTTACAAGAATTGCTGTATCGTAGCAAATAACATAATATACAGTTGTTTTTATTTCACAAAAAGAAAATGTGTTCAAACTAATAAAACACTGAATTCATAATCAATCAAAATACAGTCCTTTGTTGCAAAAACTTGGTCTTGGTCATATATACTTATTTTAATCACATTTTCAAACAGGGGTCTTCTGGAGGTTTTACAGCTCGACTTTGTGGTGAAAGAAGCTTCAGAGCAGATGGAGAGTCAGACCATTTCCTGGCGTCTGGAGTTGCCGGGGAACCTGAAGGATGTCGGCATAATTCGGATCTACACAACCCGGAGAGACTACGTGGGGCTGGCACCTCTGGTCATGGTGAGGACAATAATCTCTCCTGCCTACATCATGGAAACCAAGTCAACAGTTTGTCACTTTTGTCACCATATCTGCCCGTTTTCTTCAGAAGACACATTGTCTTCAGAGTATCATCCATCATGCATCAATCTTACCCTTGACGCTCGGACAGCTATGTGTATTGTTTCCGAAACCTTTACATTTGGAGCACCACCTCCAGAAATTACAAGGTAGATCCATCTGGGTCTTTGACAGGAGATTTATACGGCTATTTCATGCTACGGTAGTCAACATGAATCTGACAGACACTTGGGAGAAAATATGTTTCATCTCAGTCACTTACCGGAATCACATGCAGGAAAAAAAAAGCTTTTCCTCAACGTCAGAGTGAAAAAACAGAACTTTATTCCTTTAAAGGAAAACAAGTTGAAAGCTTATATTTACTGCAGAACAAATTCATGTTACAACCACATGTGACTCATCACACCCACAAGATGAGCTGCAGGAAAATCATCTTATACTTTGCACGTCATTGACAATTGACGTTTTATTGATCATTCAGACTTTTCTTTTTGGTGTTTGCCTCCCTTGCGTGTGACTCCTTATTGGATCTGGCCCTTTGACTCACTGAATGAAGTAAATGGGTTAAATGAATACTTAGACTTGATCTGACGCTGTTTCTGAAAAGAGGCAGATTTAAAACAGAGCTAAACTACTTGACCTGAACTTGATCACTGCAAGCCAGATTACTGCAGAGCTTGCGGACGCAGAGCGTTGATACCGGTTTGTCTGATTGTGCGCCCCCCCCCCCCCGATCTGCTGACCTATGTTTGGGTCAGTGCGGCGGTCTGAACTAGACCGTGTCCTTTTTGGAATTGCGGTCAGCAGCTGTCAAGCCAGCAGAGTTCAGAATGTGAAGCTGCCTGGGAACATCTGCCGAGCGGGGGTCTGATGCGTCAGTCCACAAGGGGAGAAAAAACCCACGCTGAGCTTCTGATTAACACTGTCACTACCTATAATAGAGTAAGAAGATTTATCAGAGATCTTATGAACTGCAAAGTTGAATAAGGAGTTTAAGTGTAGAAATAAAGCTACATCACGCTGGATGACAAGTTACAGGTTGTATAGGAGATGAGCTTTGGCATAGATGAAGAGTGGAAGGTGGGGAATGGGTTGGAAGATTAAAAATGTAATCAGGTTTAGATATTACTTTGAATGTGAGTCATGATTATACACCAGAGTTGAGGACTTATTTTTATCCAGGTGTGAGAGAGACAGTCATAATGTTTTGTGAGTGTGTGTGTGTGTGTGTGTGTGTGTGTGTGTGTGTGTGTTTGTGTCTGTGTGTGTGTGTGTGTGTGTGTGTGTGTGTGTTGCATCAGTGTGATTTAATGAATCAAGTTTGTCAGCCTGTGAGTGTATTAATCCTTGTTAGTCTTGGCTAACACCCACTCTCTGCCTGTCATCCCTGCCCCCATACAAACAGTGATTATGCTGCATAATGCAGTGGTCCAGTTCTCAGTTTTTCATGTACGGTGGGAATATTGCTGCTGCATATAGAGATAGACCAAACATGTCAAAAGCTCCACTTTCTATTTACTTTCACTCTAATAATAAATGATCCTAACATACTTGCTCAGAAAAATAATAACCCTGATAAGGGAAGGAAACTTTTTCATTATTTCTCATGCAGTTTGAAGTTATACTAAACATTAAACTCTTCTCAAATGTAGAAAAATATACCTTCTTCAGCACTGAGGGAAACGAGAAATTAAGAATTTCATTAGGGATGTAATCAACTATATCTGCTGCTGCTGTCACTGTATTAATGTGTTAATAAACTCCTTCTGTAATTATTTTTGAAACATGCAGATGCAGTTATAGCATCTATTCATCTTTGGAAAGGTTTAAAGTATTTACTTGTTTTGCAGCTAATATCGAGCAATCAGCTGAGATGAATTAGTCACATCCTTCAACCTGCCAAAATTACGACGATAAATAAACACTATAAATATGAAGCCAATAAGAATCCTCCACAACTTCATCTTCCTCCACTGAAATACTTTTGTTGTGCATAGTTTTAGGTCTGGGCATAAAACAATATAAATAGTTATCGCAGTATAAATTGTATATAACACAGCATCAATATATGTTGACATATTGCTTGCATAAGATGTTTTGTTGTTTGTTATTCTTTCTCCATAAAGAGGAGTTTAAAACCACAATCTTCACCCAGAAGCAAAAATCCATCTTTAAAGAAATAATAATGTGACATTTCAGTTGATAATAATTGATATCAACTGATACAAACTTTTTTTTTTAACATCCAGCCCTGCATGGTGAAAACCTGTGGCACTGAACCAACCTGCATTACTAACCTGTTCTGTATTTCCCCCTCTCCCTGCACAGAACACCGATATCTTGAACACTGCTGTGCTGACGGGTAAAGCGGTGTCAGTCCCGGTGAAAACTATGGCTGTGGAGGCCGACGGCTCCATCACCGATGTGACCAACTACACCAGCTGTAGGTCAACAGAGGAGGACGTACTCAAGGTAAAGGGATACAACCACAGGCCCGTTGGATTGAAATAATGAACGTATTTCAAGACAAATTCTAAACTTTGTGTGAACCGTGAATAGAAAGCTGTTTATATATGTGAGTGTGATAAATTAGTCATGCATACTGAAAAACAAACAGTCCCTTCATTTAATGCCAGCTAAGAAACTCTGCAGTGAACAGTATTTAGTATAAGACTTCAATAGACTTTCTCTTTAGTGCATTAGTGCCATCAAACTTTAGTTCATTTAATAGTGTGAAACTGGGCAGCATGATCGTTGGGTAGTCAAGATCTGAAGAATGCATAAATAATTGATAAATAAAGGAGGATTTTAAGCAAATAAAAACAACTTTACACAAAAAAATTACTTTTGCAGCATCTGTCTCTCTCTCATATTTAATACCAGTGTGAAGTCATTATCATCCATGTCGAATTTGCATACAAAGCCAGTTTGCTGAATATTTTATGGAAATTAAACAGAATTTGAATGCATTAAGTATTTATATCCACAATGGTGTGGGACTCCAAGACATTCTTTGTGTCATTATGCTCAACAGGTCACGCTCAAGACTCTCTCTCTCTCTCTCTCTCTCTGTATGAGAGCCGCCTCTTCCATATGGAATTAGAGACTGAGCTTATGATCCCACCACTCAGTCCATAAGCACAGAGATTTGACCTTTATGTAATGGATCCATGTCAGTGGCACAGTAAGAGCAGACAGAGAGGAAGAGTTTGAGAGAGATAAAGATAGAGATAGAGCACCATAGAAGAAGAAAAGGAATAACATTCATTTCCATTAGAAAACATAGCGGCCACTGGCTTTTCTAAGGGTGAGTCATGTGTTTGTGTGTTTTAGTGTGGGAGCTTAAGAGAGAGAGAAAGATCCGGAGAGAGGACACTGCATTTGTAACGATTTTCTGTATCAGTAGAACTTAATCCAGTTATTATTGTGTCCCTGCTGCCTGCTGTCAGTGACCCCTTTCAGACCAGCGCCGACGATCAGATCAAGTTAAAACCACAGACTTTGCCACAGTCTTAATTAATACACATATACAGTAGTACAGTAACTTAGATTAGCTGCATGCTAACATATATTTGGTTGTGCATGTAGGAAGTACAAGGTAAACTATATATTTTTGAGGTTTGCTGCGCTATTCATTTACTTTGTTTGGTGTTCTGGGAGTCATATGGACATATTATCAACTTAGCACAACCGTTGCCGATAGTGAACCATGCATCCAGTTTGCTTCCATTTCCTGAGTTGTGAATCTGTTGTTCACGTGCTTTGAAGTCGAAATGCGACAATGCCAATGCTTATCCTAAAAAACATCTATAGTGGCCATGCAGACGGACATGCTGTTTGCAAGAGACAAATATGTAACATCTGAGAAGCTACTGTTTAAAGCTGAGTGCAAAATTATGTCACCTGGTTTACAGGTGATTATGTTGGCAACTCTGCACTCATACCATATTTTACACAGACTTTTCGAGTTGTCATTCCTACTTGAGATGGCGTTCATGTGAATTATCCTAGTCAGGACATATTTCTGATTATTCCAACACCACATGAACACACAGACAGCTGCTGAAAATAATGTAAAATACTGATTAACGCAGCTTTACATACAAATAACGTATATGGTATTTGTGGATCATTTAGTCTGTAATTCCTCCTTCACAAAATGTTTTAAGATTAAAATCTGTCATTTATTTTGAGGTCATTGAATATTATACTTGGGCATTTGAATATTAAAGTTTTCACTCTGTGGGTTGTTTAAATTGTGTGTTTGTTGTGAATTTCTGTGTTAATGCTCCAAACCAGGAGCTCAAGTTGACTTACCTTGGAAGTTGTTCCTCCCAATGCATTTTCCTCACTTTTTTTTTTTTACCTCCCTCTCTCCAGTGCTGCACTCTATTCTCCAGTCTAGTGCTCTCCAATTACCTCTGTGGAGCCACTGGTTTGTTAAGATAAGTGAGGCGGTGGTGGAGATAGGCCTCCAATCTTAAATAAAACACACACACTGCTCTTTCTCACCTCATTGCTTTCACTGGTGGGGACTACAATACTCCCACCTACAGTACAGCGCTACAGGAACAGTCGTAAGGCAGAGTTCATTTATATTCGGTAACAGTTTCACGGAGAGCACAGTTGTGAATTTACATGACACAAGCAGAAATGCAGTGCGATTCCCTGGCCAGACTTTGGAAGATGTACAAAATGAATAAAATGTCTGTGTCTGTTTAGTTTTAGCTTATTTGTATTGGTGCCTATCTTCCCACTTTACTCTCTTTGTCAGTTTCTTACTAAAACTTTCTTATTCATTTTCCACGGGGCTTTAGGCAGAAAAGCCTCTACGAGTGGATGTCTCTGGAGAAAGTATAATCCAAATCTCTGGATGACAGTTCAATCCCAGTTCTAGTCCTGTGATAATGACATGATTCTAAAGTTTTAAAAGTTATGCTCTTGCCCAAAACTAAGACATTTACAGGCTGGGACTCAAACCAGTGATATTGCTCCTTGTCCCCTTCTCACCTCAGGTCTCACCCTTTTTTCTCTCGTGTGTCTTGTCCAGGTGTCAGAGGGCTGTGACTTTATATATGTGAATGGGAAAGAGACGAGAGGAAACAACAAGCTGATGCTGAACTTCACTTATGGCTTCTTGAGTGCACAGCTGGAGATGAGCGTCTGGATGCCACGCTTGCCTTTGCTCATTGATGTGGCCGACCCCGAGCTCAGCCAGATCAAAGGCTGGAGGGTCCCTGTTACTACCGGCAACAGGAGGTACGGTCCCGTTAGCCTGACACTGAAGATGCAATGAAAAGAAACATATAGACAAACTTCCAATTGTTAATTGAGACAGATATGAAGCCCAGAGTTTATATATTACATTGTTATACAATAGTATATACACTGTTGTTCCACGTAGGGAAAAGCTTTTACTGTCAGTGTTAACTTTACTCTACAAACTTTATTTCTATGCCACCTAATCACTATCACATTGTCCATGCCTCACCAATGTGTAATTTAAAGTTTTAACGATGAGGAAGGATGAGTGGATGTTGAGGGAAAGGGTTGAGGTGAGGACAGAGAGGAGGGAGACTCCTTGTGGGGGAATCTGTCGCTGATTATGAATACATGTGATTCCTGCACTCACACACCTCTTCTTAACGTTTTTATTGGACTGGGAGTTTCCTGTCAATTTAATCATGTTTTATTGCCATGTTCATATGCAAACAGCCATTATGCAGATGATATTGTATTGTGCTATTTAGGAGTGAGAGCTTCAGATGCAGCTGGCCCTGAAAGAAATCTTTCTTTATCTTTGGTTATAGTTACTGTTTGCAGACTTTTTTGTCTGTAGCTCAGTTGGACTCTACTAAAGTGAGATGTGTGTATCCAATATTTTTTTGTATATACTGTATGCAGTCAGTCAGTGTGTGGTGCATTAGTGGGTGGGGCACTCTAAAGGCAACACTCTTGCCCTGGAGATAAAGGTTAGTGGAGTTTCACTCAATACTCACAGCAAAGTCATTATTCATCACTCGATACTAATGATGATGGCCGACTGATGGGCTGTTAGATTTCTCCAGGGTTAAAACTCTTATGGACTTTCATTTCCCAAAACATTCAATGCCTGGCTCCAGACTTACTAGGTCAGAAAACTCTTTGGTGTGTGATTGTAATGGCTCGGCTGAGCTAATGATAAAAAAAGTATGGACCTTACTTGTGCCCGGTCACTGTGTTGGGTATGTGTGCACTTCCTGTATGTGGGAGAGAAGCATCACAAGCACAGACATGGACAGATGTCAGACCTTGAGCTTGAGTGTGTTTCTTTAAGTTTTTATCTTATTTTTCCTGTTGATAATATATTGAAATAAATAATTTTACTCAGTTTAAGTAATAAACTAAGATACTGTATTTATTGATTATGTAGCCCAGGAAGCCAATAAAAGTAATATAAAAATAAAAACCCTTTTGGCTCAAGGGTCAAAGAATTAACAAGGAAGCTGAGTAACTAAAGCGAGAATTGACATAAAAACTTTAAAACTGTTTCGAAAACCAGGAAGTCAAATTCTGAAAAATGCATAATTCACCTTTACTTACTCTTGCTTTGACTGCAGCAATTAATTACTTTTGAAAAATCAGTATAGAGTATTCACTGGATGTGGGAAGCTGGTACAACATAAAAAAACATCCAGAGTTTAAAAGAATAATTGAAAGAAGAGTTTGATTGTCGACTCACACTGATTTAATTCAGGCAGCTTCTCCACCACATGTTACACTCTGACCCCAGGCTACATAATAATTATGTGTATTTGTATTGGATTTCTTGACGGGAGCTTTCCGCCCGCAATGTGAAAGAATATCACCAACCCTCCATCCCACCTGTGGAGCAGCACTCGGCAGACCTCCTGTGCTTATGATAATATTATGATCATTGCTGTAGGGGTTGAGGATGATTCACAGTTTATCCCCCAAACAAACCAGCCATTGGGATCCTGGTTCGTTTGACTTGAATTCATTTAGAAGGAAAAGGTCACTTTGTGGTGTTTCCCTCCGGCACCAGCAAACCACATCTAGGTGTTCAGATCACAGATTCACCACAGGAGATTTCAAAGTCAATAGTTTTATGTAACTAAACCTTTTTGATCAAGTTTCAGTGCATTCGACAGACTGATGTCAACAGTCATCAGCTTCAAAATTCTCTAAGGATTTAATTTACACGTTCAACAACCAGGTTTTATAATTCACATCACACAGAATCCTCAGTGAAAAATGTTTACACATCAAGACAAGTGTTTAGAACAATTAATAAAAAAGTAGGACACTTTAGGAAACAGTGATTCAGCTTCTTGAGGAGGACCATTTTCACGTCTGTAGGTTAAATATGAAGCCACAGCCGGAGGCCAAAGGTTAGCTTAGCTGAGCACAACATCTGGAAACAGGAGTTAATAGATAGCTTGGCTTTGTGCAAAGGTAATTTAAAAAGTAGGATGTTATTGTCTGCATAAAACTACATGCAACATACAGGACACAACATAAGACTATTTCTGTGACTCTACACTTGGCCAGGAAATAATTGAGCTGACAATAAATCCACGTCACTTGTCAAATGTGACTTTTATACAAACTACATAAATATAATGTGTGACTTTTAAAAAAAATGTCCAGTCTTTTTCATAAGCTAAACTAACCATATACATGATATAGCTTCACATTTAACATACAGGCTAAGAAAATTCAATCGATCATGTCATTTATCTCAGTGAAACAAGTGAAGTGTTGGACTGTGGCTAATTGTGTTTAATTGCCTTTGTGTGTCTGCAGGTCTATGTGGGACAGTGAGGAAGAGGAGGAGATGAGGAAAGGCCGAGGCTGCATGCTGCAGTACCAGCACTCTGCACTCCGGGTGCTCACGCCCTTCGTGGCTCAAGCTGACGGTGAGGTAATGCCCGACTCGCTAACTGGAGCGGAGCCTGTCGACTACTTCCTGGGTCCTGACTGGAAGGTGAAAACATCTGATATGCCGGCACTTACCGTCAGGATTTAGCATACACTCTTAAAAGTTTCAACAGCTAGACAAAGAATTGGTGGAATGATGATGGTCACACATTTGAATCTCTTTGACTGACAGGTGGATGTGACCAATCTTGTCCGCAATTCTCTAAAAGTGGCTGACCCTGAGGTGGCCAGGGTGCAGGATGGGGTGGTGCTGCAGGGACGGGCTGTGGGCTCTACGACTGTACAGGTGAGTTGTCAGTTGTGTATGTGTGTGTGTGTGTGTGTGTGTGTGTGTGTGTGTGTGTGTGTGTAGTTTTAGCAGTTGCAGTGCACGCCATATAAACACACATCCCTCCCTGGTTTGACCGAGGATGTGCTCGTTTCAGGTGCTGTCCCCCGTGACGTCATCGGTCCTGGCTGAGAGGACCATCAGGGTGGTGGATGACAAAGTGAGTGTGACGGAGCTGGGAGTGCAGTTGATTTCTGGACTCTCTCTGTCCCTGCAGCTCAGCCCCGGGAGCAACAGGGCCGTAGTTGCCACGGCAACCACACGGGAGATGATCACGCAGCTCAAACAGGTAAGTAACTGGAAAATTGTCCCACACAAAAGCATAAAAGTGTGACACACAGTGCAGCCGTTGGAGGTGGCACTTGTACTGGTTTTATGCCTCTTAGTTTTATCGTCAGTCATTTTCAGCCCCATCACATAACTTTAGAAGGACCATTCGACTGTGTGGGACACGAGGAACAAGAGATAAACAAAAGCAATTCAATGTGTGGTTATAAAAGTATTTTCCCTCTAAGTGTCTCTTGATCTGAATGTGTTTCTATTTCAATATGGAAAAAGTCAGAAACACATTCATCATCAGAAGAGGAGAGACACTTCATGGGTAAGGTCAAATCAAAATATTACATTTATTTAAATTTCACAACACTCGTTTTAGCCATTTGATGGAAAATACACAATAAAAAGCTCCCACGAGGCCACATGTCACTGTAAACCCTGAGACACAGTTTCATCCAAATGCACAAACCAAAATACTGAATTCAGATCGCTGTAGTCTGTGAGGTGAAATTACATCTGTCTTCTCTGTATTTAATATGTGTATTTATTTATTTATTGGCTTTTTAAATATGTTTTTCTCCCTTGTATTGAGTTCTTGTTATTGCAACCAATATTTTGCCTATGAGTACAGATATTAAAATATCCCTCGGTTATTCTTCTTGACAAGTATAAGTATTTAACAACAAGCCCCTGGCACTGACAGATGTTTCTTCCTTTTTTATTAAACTCATCACCCTGGAAACACTCTCAGCGTAAATAATCATCAGAGATGCTTTGTGCTGTCAGCAAAAAAAAATAAAATAGTGATGCTCCCTTGTAAGTGAAACATCGTACATTAGAACTGAGTATTGTTTCTAAGTGTTTAAATATTGTATTTAGCACCAAATCATAGTCTGGCTGAAGTCAAGTGCCAAATTGCAGGTGTTTACTTTTTGGGGGATTTTAATGTTGATTTAATTCAATCCTAGATCTGCTGTAAATACAAGAAATAGATGGGTTCCAGGTTTTACAAGATTCTGAAAGGAAAGGGGGAAAGATCGTCTTTGTTCTTCACAGAGGGAAGTAAAAACTGTCGTTTGTAGTCGAACACTCATAGAAACATGAGTTGTTGGAGTGGGCTTGACATTAGGGTCAGAGGACAGAGGAGAAAGGGGCAACTTGTCTGTATGAAGCAGTTCCAAGATGCCTTGTTTCATTGATGGAGACTCAAAGGACATTTTTGCTGGAGGTGGAAAAACAGTGCACTCTTTGTCTTTTTCACCATTATGATTTTCAACCTCATAAAAAACCAGCAGGATGAGGAATCTCTTGTGTATGGAACTATTCCACATCCATGTTTGCTCAAGTGACGTTCAATTGTTCCTTCCCAGGGAGCAGAGGCTGTATATGCTCCTGTGCAAATGAGGAGGAATCAGAGCAGCTCTATTGGAAATATTCTGTGAATTGGAATTACTCTTTAAACCTGCTGGGTTAAAATTGTGCAGAAACAAAGATATAATGGGCCTCTGCAGCAAGCGTTTGAATTAGAGGAATTTCCACGACAGAGCACATTTATGAAACAATGATCGTAGGGGTGTAATGATATTTATGTTTTTCTCTTCTCCTCTCAGAATGTGAACTCATTGCCTCCACAGCTCTGACTATCATCACACGCTGTGTGAGAGAGCAGAGGAGGCAGACAGGGTGCACAGATGATCATTTTAAAAAGCTCACTCACACATTTAGCCGTGGCAGCTTGCCCATTTCTAAACCAGGCATGCTGCAGCAATTAGGCGGAACATAGCTGCTGGAATGGCAGCTCACTTTGCCTACAGAAGCCTCCACTGCGGCTGCTCTGCCCCCGGTCAATAAAAAACTATTACAACCATGCCAGTGCAGATGACCGAGCCTAGTGTCTGTGATGGCAAGCTGCTGTCGCCTTGTGTTGCTCAGGGCGATTCATAATGTATTCAAAGACAAAATATAGGTTAGGTCTGTAGTGACCCAGTGGCTGACATTAGTAACTGGAAATGGGTCATTGTGTATTAGTGGGATTGGATTGGTTAATTCTGCTCTCAACATGACCCTTATCGCTGTTTTCGCTGTTCCTGTGCAAAGGGTCTCTATTGTATGCTCTTTATCCACTTTGGTGAAATGATATTTCATGCTGTGACTTCAGTGGGCTGTAATCTATGGTACAGTAGCGCCCTAGTGAGGGTAATCGTAAAGAGATTAGCAAAGGCAATTTAGTGTTATTACCAATCATGAGCATATAGCTCTGAGTGAAGGCATGGTCTGAATATTGATTTGCTGAATGAGTTCTCATGTTCTTTTTTTCAGGAAGCGGTGGTGAGCTGCTGGGTTCAGTTCAGCGACGGCGCAGTCGCCCCACTGGAGCTGTTTGACCGTAGCATCTACTCTCTGACAGTCACCACCCCAGACGACAGAGTGGCCACAGTACGCCGCACCCCGCTTTCCACGTTTGTGGTGGCCCAAGGTGAAGGCGAAGGTCGGGGGGCGCTAGTGAGGGTGGAGCTGAGGATCTGCGAGGAATGTCAGAAATCCAAGAGGAAGAGCAAGCTGGCGGTGGGCACCGGGCTCCTCAGGACCAACTTCCAGAGTAGCAGCAGCAGAGCAGGCGGAGGAGGTGGAGATAAAGAGTATGATGTTGGTGCATCAGAAGTGGTGGGAGATCTGAAATCAGTGACATCCCAGCGTTCTGTTACAGATATGGATAAGTGGTTGATGAAGAGCATATTACCTGACCAGCAAGACACCACCCAGACAGACACAACCACCTCCACCCCAGTTTCTACAAGATATGTGCAGCCACATGTTGTGTGGATTGGAACAACAACCAGAGCTGCAAGAGGGACTCCGTCTACTGCCACTGCCACAACTGCCACCACAACTTTGAGCACACCAAGCTTAAATACAGCACTGAGCACGGCCAAACCTGCAACACCCACTGTTGTTGCTATTAAAGGTGAAGGGCAGAGGAGGAGCTATGGAAACATGCTTGAAAACCCAAATTCAACACCTAACAAAGACATTGCTAAAGGAGAAGAAATGCCCATAAAAGAGCGTCCCAAACCTAAAACTCCTAAAATAACCGAGAGCGACCTCATTCAGACGATCAGAGCCATGTCAGACTTGGAAATCAGCATGTACGCCTTAGTGGGGGTTTCCTGTGTTGCTGTCCTGGCTTTTATAGTCAATTGTGCTTCATATAAACTCTGCTTCCGTAAGCACAAGACACCTATACAGGCGGGCCCCACCCCCAACGGGGACCCGAAGGACCACAAGCACGACTGGGTGTGGCTGGCGAGCAATAATCATGACACACAGGCCCCGGGTGTCCCAGCTCAAGTGTCGACGCTAAAACGTGAGGCCCACCGCCCTCTGGAGTCCCGTCATTCCATCGACTCCATGGGCCACCGCAACCTGGAGAGCACCCTGCCCACCATCAGCCTTCCCCCCGCTGTTCCCGAACGAACCGCCACCCTGGGCCGCAGCAGGGCCAGCTCCCAGCAGCAGCAGTTTCAGGGAAATATAATGGACCCCATGGCGAACCGTTCTGCGACGTTGTTGGCCCGGCCGCACCGCAGCGAGCCGCTTCATTCCCCCACCAGTAAGAGGAACCAGGTCCAGTTCACCACCTTCACCACGCTGGACATCAAGCACTTGGCTGCGCTAAAGAAAAACGGCGTGGACTTAAACTGGGCCAATGGGCAACCGCAGCAGCAGCATGTGGCCCCCGCAGAGGCTCAGGCACTTTTACCTGACATGCCATGGCCGGTCGTCAAACCCCTCGGAGAGCACCAGTGAGTGTGTTTGGGTGTGTGTTTGTGCATGTGTGTGAGAGAGTATGAATGTGTAAGAGAAAGAGATGCAGAAGAAGATAAGCAGCATATTCTGGTGAATAATCTGTAAAAGAAATGAAGCAAACTTTTCCTGTTTTGGAAGAAAGATCAAGTCACTTTGTATTTATTGAAATTACATAGAGAACATTTTATATATAATAAACTGTGCACAGTTAACGCCTGTAAATACATTATGCACTGTTGTATCCATG